CACTGAAAGGACAAGTGCCCAGAAAGGAGCTGCAGGATGAAATGAAACTGATACAGAGCAGCAATTGTTTGTACATCCACAGGACAGTGCTGTGCTAGAAACCCGGCAATAAGCTATAGACCAAAGAGGCAAATCCCTGAGCCCATGGGGAAGGCTTTGGATTGAGGCTTTGCTTTTGAAGAGCTCCAAAAGCAGAAGTTTACTTTGGATGAAGGGGAATATTCTCCTATATATAGCAGAACAGCCAAGGCAGTAGCTGTGGCAGAAAAATAAGTTCAGAGCTGCAAGCAAAATATGGGCAATCCAGGTTTAACTGCCAAAGTCAACACCTGCCCTGTGGTGAGAGCCCTGGAGGCAGGAGGCATCGCTAAGGCGTGACCCCTACAACGAGGGAGAGGGGTTTCCTCTGCTGAATGCTTAATTCAGGCGGGTTTCTAGAGATGAATGAAAATTGCATGCCATAAGGGAGGGCCAGGAATAGAAAGCCCATGTGGGGGAAGAATGCTCTAGATGTAGAGAATACATCTCCAAGAGTTTTTATCATTCTTATTTTGCACCTACTATCAACAATAATAAGGAAGGAGCTTACTGAACAGCCTTTTCAATCCCTAAGCAATGCATCCAGAGATTAGGAGCAGAGAGCAGTGGGCAGCTCGAGAAAAGCTGTTCAACAAATGTAGAGGCATGCATAATAAGATTACTGAATTGGAGTTGCATGTTTTCAAGGATAAACGTGATATTATTGCACTGGCAAAGACATAGTAGGAACAAGGTGAAAGATGAGAAATAGCCTGCCAGAGCTGTGGGACTGCTGCAGCTGAGCTCCCAACAGGACAGGAGCAAGGGAGAAGTGGAGACAATGAAGAGAAGCAGCTCCCCATGAGCAGAGAGGAAGAGCATATCCTACTTGACATGCAGATATGCAGAGCAGCTTTTTGCAAAGTGGGTGATGTCATCATGTTTTTCTCAGCCTTCAGGACAGCAAGAGAAAAATAGATTGCATAGGAGTCTACAAGACAAGCAGGCTTTTCCCCCTGCCCCCCTCTCTGCAAAACTAATTGCTTAAATATTGATCAGGAAAATAATTTGAAAGGGCTAAAAGAAGGAAGGACTTCTTTTCCTCCTCAGAGGCAAAAAGGGTAATGTTCTTGCAAGCTGCTGGAAAGATCCAAGTGTTCAGAGGATTTCCAATACTATATGAGCTAATTAAGGTGTTGAGTTGGTCTGGTTTGGTTTTTTTGCTCATACAGGAAAGCAAACAATTGAAGTTTGAGGTTTTTCAGAATGCCCTGAAGTCTGACTGGATTTACAACTGTGCTGGCTGTCCCAGGGGGCAAGAGTGCCCACCAGGCATACAAAATCACAGGCCCTAACTAGTGCAATTAGTGAGAACAGCAGCTATGGCAGGGACTTTCACTCTGGAAATCTGGATTTTGGCTGGCAGAAACCGGCAGCCTAGGTTTAGCCTTAGTGAGGGAAAGCACAGTGAAGATAAATCCCCAAACCAGAGTGCTGGAGGACTGCTAGTCACTGCTGCCCTAACACAGACACTGAGTCCTGAGAAAAAGCAGCAGTTGCTTGGCTTCTGGAGAGGTGTTTTTCTTTCTTGTGAAAGATACAAAGGAAAAAAATCCATCTAACAAAATGTAGTAACTATCTCAGAAAATATCTGTACCTCATCTTCATCTGGAAGAAATCTAGACAGATGTGAGCACCAGGAAGTCCTTCATTGTTACAGATGTGTTTTGTGAGTAAACCAAAGCAGAGAAGGAATGCTATCGAGGGCAAAACAAACAAAAACCTTGAAGCAGATTGGGAAAAAAAAAAAAGGTAGAAATAAAAATAATAAAGCAAGAACATGCAAAGATAACAGTCACAGGAAGAGGAGGGAGCACTCACAAAGATTTCAGTGAATATTTCTCAGGGATATATGGGAAGCAGGAGAAACTGATCCTTGAAAGTATCTTGCAAGGTTAGAAAGAGAGAAATGAAAAAATGTACCAAACAAATGTCAATTAAATGAAATATCTTCAAATATATGTTTATTTTTTGCTTTGATATGGAGTCTCCATGCTGAGTTTTGTGCATGAATTTTCCCCACTGGGTGAAGTGAGCCCAGCAGTGCCTCAAAGTAAAGCTGATTGCAGGGTGAGATGATTCGTGTGCCTGTTGCAAGGGTGCAGGGTGGGTCACAAGGTGGCAATCCTAGGGCTTCAGCAGCTGCCTGGTTCTTCATCGCAAGGCTCTCAAGGAATGTGCATTATGAAGTCTATCAAAGCATTGTCTTTGGTTATATATGAGGTGTAACACTGGATCTAAGTCATCACTTGCCAGGAGGTGGTTAGTTTAAAACTCAGATTGATTAGTCAAAAGATATGGCTAAATCCCCTCTAGACAATGGAGCAGTATATACATATAACGTATTAAGGGCTGGGGGATTCTTCTTTCCTTATTTTAACATCCTTTTCCACCCAGAGGTACATCATGTATGATTCCTTTTTAAAACAAACAAGCAAAGAAGTCCCACACTCTTAGAATTTTAATGGTCCCAGGATGACCATGAGAAGTTCTGCAGTATGCTGTTATGGAGGAGTCTGGTTAGATGTTAGCAAGAAAATCTGCCTAGGAGTTGGACTACATTGCATGGCTTCCTAGAACTCTAATTGGTTTAGAGATAAATAAGCATTTGTAGTCATTTTATAAATTCCTTACAGAGAACATGAAGGGTGCCTGTACCTGCTACATTTAAATGGAGAAAACAAACAAACAAACAAACAAACAAAAAAAAAAAACCAAAACCCAGAACCAAAAAACTTCTGCACTGAGTGGCACAAGTCTGAAGAAAAAGAATAAGCAAAAAGAAAATAATCTGGGGGAACACCTATGGTAGGTTATTCAGTGCCAGTCATTAAACCTCAGAAGAGTTTACTTCATTCCTTTCCTACAAAAAGGGTTTTAGCTCCCAGACCTGGCAAAGCAAATCAAATCTGACTTTAGGAGATAGAAGCTCCTGGAGACCCATAGCCTCAGCAATAGTTCTCCACTGAACAGACAGCTTCTGGCCAGATTCTCCCAGCTACCAGGCAGAGGATCAGATTTAGAAAATGCAGCCTGGGCACAGCTGGTCAGGTCAGATAGTGGGTCAGGCTGCCAAGTCTCTCTCTGCTCTCTTCCATCAGAAGATGAAGATTGTGTTCAGCCTATTCAATATGTGGAATGAATTCTCATGAAGGTGAAAGGGCGTACTCTGTCAGGAGAGAAAAGCTTTCCACCAGCAGGGAGAAAAATAGGCAAAGAATAGGCTTACCAGCTCTTCTGTCCCTGCCTGGTTAGCTGATTGTTCATCATGCTTATTTGCTTTGCTACAGTTGAAATGGGTAGAAATCTGTGTTTGAGAACTGCTGAAGTATTTGAGGTCTGATAACATAGAGCAACCATTTTCATTACAGTAACCAAGTCACAGAATGGTACCTTTAAATGGGAAGGATAATAATGCATTACAGATTCACTTTCAATTAATCCAATGCCTGCAATGCTGAATGCACTTAGTCCGTGAATTTTCTCAGAAAATGAAGCAAGAGTGTATTTCACTTATAAATCACAAAAGACACTTATTTGGCAAGAACGACCCCCTGCTCATATACTATAAATCGTGAACATCAACAGTCTCTAATGGATTTTGAGTCAGTGCCACATACAGCAAAGCCCGGGGCCTGTGTTTCAGGATTCCAGGACTGTGCCAAAGAAGCCTTATAAATGATTAATGTATTCAGCACAGTGTCATCTGTGCCATTGGAGAGAAAAAGACATTCAGGGGCTCCGTTTGTCATTAAAAAAGTGATAATCAGTTCAGCAGCAGACCATGGCTCTCCTTTCCCCTGCCAGAATAAACCATTAAGCTCCAGACTTAATAAAATCCCTCCCCAAAACTTCACACATGTTCTTCATTCATGGTGTGCAACACTGCAGTAAGAGAAAAGACGTGAAAACAGACTTTTTCTTTCCCTAAGCAAACCTCCAAATTCAGACTTCCAAGGGGACAGAGTTGGGGTTTGCACTTGGAAATGTATGTTCAATATGGGGTTACATTGCATAGGTGGCTGGGGCCTCTTTCTACTTGGTTGTCAGTACACAGACAATACAAGTTTTGGTCCCTTCTGCTCAGTCACTCACGCTTCCCAGTTATCCATCCCGCAGTTTTCAATCTCTTCCCCGCTACTTTTATCCCCATGGTTACTGAATCAGTGTGTTCACAGAGATTTTCCTCACTAAAGAATGTGACTAACATGAGACAGCTAAATTATCAGAGCCAATTCCAACACTGGTTTTTCCTAGCAAGGATCTTATCTTCCAAACGCTTTCAAATAGATCTGTTGCACTGGCACCAACTTCAGAGTAAGCAGTGCTGCAACTATTGATAGGGTCAGAGCCACAGAAGCACTGTACATAGAGACCTAAAATAGTCTGGAATCTGGTAAATGATGAAATTTAAATGCTAGGTTTAGCAAAAAAAAAAAAAAAAAAAAGTAACCCCTAGAAGGGAACCCATTATTTCCTGATAAGACCTGGCTCTAGGAGTTCAAGTAGATTTCCTCTTTTAAGAAATAGTTTGGCTGAGCAGTAGGATACAGATGTTTTAGGGCCCCAAGAAATCTCTGTTACACAATGCTTCAAGACAGACCAACAAAAAACAAATCTACTAATCTCCAGCCACAGCAACCAGCATATGCTGACCCAGGGGTCACTGGAGCTGTTCTCACACTGTCCAGTCTAGGCTGCCCTCAGGGTAGAGCAAACTGAATCTCTTCCAAACCACCAAAAATATATACATTAAGCCTCATTCACACTTGCGAGGTCTCTCTCCCCTGTACTCATAGCATCTATACAGCCACAATTGCTGAAACCCTAAAGCCAGGGTAGCAAGTTGACACCTCAGGTAAGCATCATCACAGTCATGAGCCAGCATACACAAGACTTAAGAAGAAACGTGGAAGTCTTACCTTGGCCGCTACGGAGGAGTTGGGCTTCTCCAGGAGGTCCCAGAGCTTTTTCCTTTTGTCAGCGCAGCAAGTGTTATCAAATTCCTCCCCTTCCCTTTCCCTCAATGTCTCAGCTTCTCTTTTCAGCTCCTCATTCATCTGCTCCTTCTTCTGATGGTAGCGGGCCTGGCAGCAGGACTCCAGGTAGATCTCATCCACCCCCCAGTAGTCCAGCTCTTGGCTGAAGGACAAGGCGCACATCTCCTCCATCATGTGCAGCTTGCCAGTACGGTAGAAGTTCAAGATTGAGGTGAATGCCCCCGGGTGCCTGTCAAAGAAGTACTCATTCTCCTCCAGGTTGTAGTCATCACAGATCTCCATGAGGGAGTCGTGTGTGTTGCAGTCTCTAAGCTTACCCAGCCTGGTCCGTGGCAACCTGTCCAAGGTCCGCCAGAGAACCTCGTGGGCCAGCCCCCCCACATTGAGCTTGACCCTGCGGGAGCAGGCCTTGCTCCTGACGATCTCCGTGGGGTCCGGAGGCAAAGAGGTAGTAGAGCGAGATCCATGCTTATTCATCCCCAGAGGCATCGCTGGTCCCCCTCAGGCTGGATGCTCCAAGGTGCGGTGTGGGGCAGGGCGTGCGGGGGCCGGCTCTCCTCACCTCTCCTTCCCCTCCATGCCCCAGAGCTGCAAGAGAAGCCAACCATGGGTCCCTGCCCGCTGACCTCCGCTCCCGCGGGCCGCCTGCCCGCCGGCCTTATCCCCGCCCGGGGCAGCCCGGCCCCGCTAATCTGCTCAGGGGGAGGCGGCGGCGCTGTCCGCCCTCGCGGTGCTGAACCCCTCTCCGCGCCCCGCTCGGGCGGGCGGCCTCGGGCAGGCGCTGTCCGCGCCCGCGGTGCTGAAGGCCGCCCGCTCCCACGTGGCGGAGCGGCGGCTACCGCCGAGCTCCCCCGGGCGGCGGCCGGGTGCTGCCCTCTCTCCCGGTGGATCCCAGGCTCTGCCCGGGAGGGTTGTCTGTACACCTCGTCCAGAGAGCTAAGGAGGCTGGGCACGGCTTCAGCAGCCTCTTCTGAGAAAGGGCTGTCTGGGAGCTGCTGAGTTAAAGTGAGCTCCCCCGAGCACCGCTCGGCGCTGCTCCCCAAAAGGCGCCCGGCCGTTAGCCACGGCTGCGCTGGTACGTTGTTTCCCATCCCGAAGAGACAGGACAGGAGCGCGCCGGCCCAACCACCGACAGTCTCCGAGTGCTCAGACCCGCCGTTCCCTCGCGCAATGAGGCCCTACTGGACAGCAGGCACAATACCCCGCGTGCCCCCACGACCCACCCGGGCAACTTTTCCCGCTCTGCCCGGCCGTGGAGGCGGCAGGTGGGAGCAGAGGCTTTTATAACTGCAGCCTTGCAAATTTCCCCGAGGAAAGCTCTGTGAACGAGAAAGAGCGAGTATTTCCAGTCACTCTAACGACGCACTCTACCTCCCTGGGCTACCCAGGGACGCCTCCCCATACCCCACGCAGCCCTCTGCATAACAGGAAAATCAACGAAAATGGGAATAAGAACCACCCCCGAGCATTCATTGCAAAGCCAGTGCCTTATAACAGCCCCAAGCACTGTTGCTTACACAAGATGGCACGAAGAGAAATCTCGGCGCAGAAAGGAACGGCTTTCTCCCTGCTCATCCAGCACGGCGCCGGGGCTCTGCCCCTCTCCCCATCGATGTGGGTGCCCCCACGCCGATAGCGAAACCCCAACGCTGCCCTCAGCCCTTCCGCGGGGCCGCTCCCGGCCGCAGCCCCACGCGGGAGAGGGCTCCGCTCTTCCGGCCCGAACCTACCTCCTCCTGCGGGCTCCCAGCGAGGCGGCGCGGGGCTGTGCGGGACCGAGGGCGGCTACATCGTGCGTCGGGGTGGGCAGCCGGGATGGCCCCGCTCGCATCCCCCCGCGGGCAGCCTCGAGGCGGAGGGATGGCGGCCGCGCTCCCGTCTGGCCACGGAGTCCGGGGGGCGGGGGGAAGGGAAGCGAGGTAAATCGGATCCCTCGGCAGGAAGCTTTCCAAGGCCTTCCTTCGGCTGCGGCTCCTCGCTCCTGCCTGCCGTCAACTCCGAAGCCGCATCTGCCCCCTTCCCCCACCCTTCTCTTGGTGAAGACACAAAGGAAAGCTTCGGTACTTCCTTCTGCTGCCTCGAAACGGAGATCAACAAGTCTAGTCTGAACCTCCAGCTTTTCCCTGCAATTCTGTCCCGGAGTTGTTTGGAGTGAATTGGAAGTTGGGGGTGGAAGAGAGGAAGGCAGCTCCACCGTGAGCTGGGATGCAGCATTGCAGGGAAGGTTAACGCTTTCCTGACCTGGCCCCGCCGCCCCGGGGCTGATTTACAGCGAGTGAAGCGCCTGGACCAGATCTAATACCGAGAGGAGAGCTGTAGCATCCTTCTGTAGCAGTAGGACTCTTCCCACCATCCTCCAGCTCCCGGTGGTATCATCCGTGAAAGCGGGAGAAGGGATTGGTGCCAGGAGAAAAACGACAAGCAGAGTGTGCTGATAAGCCCAGCAGGGCTGTTATTGCTTTCTAGGCCCTGCTTGCTGAGCTAGGAGCAGCTGAGCTCTGTGAAGCTGCACATCTTCATGCAAGGAGTGAGCTGGGCCATCAACCTCGCGCTAGCAACCTCTCATCAAAGGGAAAGCCTGCACTTAGAATTGTTACATGTTTTTGCAGATAGAGATGGGAGGAATAATAACAGATTTCTGATCTGATCTCTATGAAATAGAGCGTCTGCTAACCAGAAAATACAGCATTCAAAGTATCCTTTTAGCACTCTGTTCTCTTTCCCCTCCAACAGGGGAAAATGGGTCTCAGCAGGAGCCAGTACCTTCATTAGCATTACTTAATGGGTACATTAGCACTACTTAATGCAGCTCACCTGCTTACACAGGTGTAGCAGAGGTACACAGCTCTGTTCGTTAGCCTTTTCTCCCCTTTGCATTGATTGGTCGTGCCTCTTGGGTGCTGTAGTGACAATTCCTACTATGAGGTTTTTAAACCATGAACCTGGTGTATATGTGATTAACCTGAGAAAGACTTCTCCCTATTTCATATGCTTCTCCCATTGCCTTGTGTATGCAATAGCACTGTTATGCTACTATTTTTGGTGTTTGAATGTCCATACCTGTTTTAGAGATGACCTTCTGAAATCTCAATGAGTTTTTTTGGGTTTTTATTGGTATTTATTTTTAATTTTTTTCTCCAGACTTTCTTATAAGGAGAAGTGAATCACTTTTGCAGTTGGGGAAATAAAGGCACAGAAAATCATTTAGTATGGAGATGTGAGAAAAGTTTGGGAATGAATCCTATTGACAAGCCCATCCCACCTCTTCTGAAGTAGCTCCTTCAGTCCAAGAAAACCTGCAATCAGTATCCAGAGCACTTTGGCTCTCTTCTTACTTTCCCTTCATTTCACCCCTACATCCTACTTTACTTCCCTTACAATAGAGATGAAAATTCCTGGTTAGGGCTGTGAAGTTAAATCTGTAAATGGTTATGAAGTGTCTTGAAACTTCCAGCTGGCAGTGCTGTATGAGAGCAGGTTATTTGTTTGTTAGCACTGGCATCTAGGGCACATTATCTCCTGTTGTGACAAATGGACACCACTCTTCTGCAGGAAGAGAATGGTTGGAGGGAAAATGACAAGTAGCCTAATACAGGGACATGCATCAGATTCAATACAGCTAAATCACAGGGAGAGAAGCAATTCATTTTTATTTGCAAGGCATTTGTATCTTTCCACATCACTCTTGCTACACTGCCCATGTCACTCACATGGTCTGGCAAGAGGCTGGGGAACCAGCCACGGAGAGGGGACACAAAAGGGCAGCATGGAGGCACTGCTGCTGCACTGTTCACCCTTCCACACTCTCCTTGCCAGTATGAAGGCTTATGCTTGAGCCTCAGGTAGAACTGCAGGAGGGCACCCTGCAGATGGCTGTGCCTGGAGTGATCCGGGAGCCTGGATGAGAGGAGAGAATGTTCCCAGCCCCAGGATGTCCATTCTCTGCAGCACTTCTTGTTCCATGGCTGGTGAGCTTGTCAGCAAGGGGCAGTGCAGGCCTGAGGATGCAGAAATGTGCTGTCTGCTCTCTCTTCTCCAAGGTTATCTAACCCACTCTTGCTTTAGATATTCCTTTTGATTAATATTTTTGTACCCTGAGCTTTTCCAAACTTTATTTATGGTTTGTTATTTCCACAGCTTATGGAGCCAGCCAAATGCTTGAATGCAGCCCATGGCAAACCATCTTCCTGCCTGCAAATTATAGCTGTTATTGACAAGGAAATACTATAAACCTCAAGTAATTAAGGGAAAATGCACAGAGTATGACACAAATGTGTTCCCCAGGGCTCATAAGCAGTGGTATATACAGACTTGAATTTAACCTGCCAGGCAGAAGAGTTTGGAAGGCACTGTTTCTCAGACCACAACATGGCCATACAGCACACAATGGCGGTAACGGGATGATGTCTGGACTAGATAATTTTAGTGGTCTTTTCCAACCTTGATGATTCTGTGATTTTATGACAGCAAAGCAGACAGAGCCTAGATGTGACAATATCCCTCTGCAGTGCCTCCTCTGCCTGCATAAAGAGAGGCATCACATCTTCACAAACACCCACACTGCACAGCAGTCCAGCATCTCCTGTCCATCCTCTGAAGCAGGAGAGGAGACTGATTTGCATCACTGAACTGGTCACGGGTGAACTAGTGGCTGTGAGAAAGAAAGGCTCCTTGCACACAAACAAGCCTGCAGCTGTCACAGCAATGGCATTTGGAACAATGGGCTTCCAGCAGAGAGCGGCACTGCAGCTTTGGTGGCTCATGAGTTTTGGCTGGTTCCCGATGCTGAGGGATGCTGGTTTTCATATCCTAAATTGAGTTAGAAGTTGTAACAATAACCCATATTGTTTTCACAGCCCAGGGCCCTGTGCTTGTTCTTATGAGTGGCAAAGGCTGTCATGCAATGAGCTGTCTCAGTTCCAGTGCTTCCTATTATGCCCCTTTAAGGATTCCCTTGGTTTCCAGGGATTTTCTTTCCAGCGAAGAAACACTTAAGATATAATGGAGATTTCTTTTATAGTCCAAAATCCTTTCCCTTAAATGGGAAAGAAAATTATCAGTTTTCTTGGCAGAGGTCTCTAATAAGCGTTGAAAAGTGCAGAAGGAACTGAGACGAATGGGGCAGAGTGACTGAACTACTGAGAGCCCAAGAGCATGAAAATAGTGGAATACTAGGGAAAAATGCTGGAAGCAACCAGCAAAATACAATCCAAAAGTGAAACATAAGTGCTGTGCCCTCCTTAGAAAAGCCAAGCAGAGCCTGGATGTCAACGTCAGCAACAGCTGGGCTCCATCATCGTTACATTCTCTGTTGTGAAATCTGCACTGGAAGGGTTTCACATGAAGCTCATGGTGCTGTGGGGGGAACAGGCTCTGCTGCGTGGGGCAGGTTTGCCTGCTATTCTCTGGCCCTAGGCTTCACCCCCAGCATGCCCTCTACTACCCCAGCTCTTTCTCACACCATGGGACAGGAGAGCCATTCCCGAATTGTTCATTTACATTTTTAAGTTCATACCAGTTGGTGCAAATAACAGAGCCTCTGCCAGCATTCTGAGGTCCTCAGAGAGGTACTGGAGGATGCGGGAGAGCTGCTGGGCTGCCTGCAAGAGGTGAAGGGAAGAAGGGCAGAGAGGTCTCAGCAGGGACCAGGAGTAGAGAGCAAACAATCCTTGACAGAGGGCAGAGTCTCTGCAGACTCAGATTTGGATGAGAAAGAAACTGGTGAGGGCAGACCTCTTGTATCTAGGGCAGAGTAGCCGCATGGGCACTGAGTCCTGAAAGGACCTGAAGATTTCAGCTCACCCAAACTTGGGTAGGAAACATGCCAATACAAATACAGGGAACTGTATGGTTCTGATTCCCCCAAAGAACACTTAGAGCTATCCCTTTGGCTCCAGTATTCTGCCCTTCCCAGGAGGTGCATTTCCACCCCTGCAGCCATTAAGCAGCCTCACTGTGCTCGCTAACCACAAGTGCACGCATCAATGCTCTTCTTCCTGGGGATGGCTCTGCCAGACCCACTCTGTTCTCCCTTCCTGTACGGCCAGCCTATTCCTCAAGGTGGGTGTGCAAAACACCACCACCTTCCACATCTACCTCATTCGCATCAGGTCTAAAGCTAAAGGCTGTTTCATGGAGGAAGAAAACACAGACTTTTCTGCTAGCTGACAAACAAATGTCCCCAAAAGGGTGATTTGTCCCATCGCCCCTCTTCTAGGAAATCTCCAAAATGATTTGAGAAATGGACTTTTTTTCCTACCTGTCAATACCATAGATCAAATCTTTGGGATCTTGTCTCAAAACAGTGCTTGGTCCCCTAGGGATGCTGTTTCCCCACACACGTGCCCCTGTTCACTGCACGGGGATTGGACCAGAAGATTTTTAAAGGTCCCTTCCAACTCCTATGATTCTATGATTCTGTGCAGGGATTGTGGAAATGCTTTGTCTTCACCTCTTGTGCTGCTTGCGCAAGGCTGGCACAGAGGCACAAGCAGCTTCCTGTAATATGTTATCTAACATTTAGCTTTAAGCACTGGATTCTGTAAAGCAATTTGCCTTGCTGTATTATTCAGCAACCAGGAATTTATTAGGTCCCCAAGGGCTGGTGGCTCCTATTCATCACCCAGCATCCATCAGGACGGAGCCACATCTATCAGCTGTGAGGTGGAGCAGTGACCTCTCACAGGGGTGACCAAACACTTACCTGTGCCATCCACCTTGCAGCCAGGCTCCTAGGAGTGAGAACTGCTCTGCTCCCACATACACAGAGCCTGAAAGGATGCTCCAGCTGGGGAGCAATTTCAGATGTTTCCTGGGAGGCAACACCACAACATCCTCTTTCACACTGAAGGAAATTGAGACAGAAGGATTAAAGCAACCTGCCAAAAGCTGTGTGGGATGGAGGATGAATGAGCAGCGAAATGCATTCTAAATCTTAACAGATATCCCTTGGTGATTCTGCCAGGACTCTGCCTCACCACCATTGCATGTGGTGGAACGCTCTGCTCAGAGGCTCCCCCCAGCAACAGCTGTCTCCAGGCTCACACACCTCGAGGAGGGCAATGCTGGTGGTGCTACAAAGACATTGAACTTCTTGTTTCTCTTTTTTTTTTTCCCCTGAAGAACTGGCAGTAAGAGCTGAAAACTCTGCATGAAGTCAGCCCTTCTTGGCCGCTCCCTGCTCCTATTTGCCCTCAGCTTTGAGGAAATGCCCTCCTCCTTCATTCTTCCTTTTTGGTCATTCAACAGTAATTAATGCTGGAGCTGCAAAGGAGTCAGAAAGCCTCATGCAGAGTAACACAAGGACGGCCCTCAGATCTACTTCCAAGCAGACATTTAATGCCATGGCCAGGACTGGGGGCTGGCCTCCCCTGGGAGCGGGGGGATTTTGGTGACGCTTGGATACAGCTGCAGGAATCCCATGAATTGCCCATGGGAAGGGTCCCTTCCTGCCTTACTTGGGTTACTTTGCATCTGTAACATGTATTTAATAAAATACATTTTAATTCTCAGGATTACGAAGATCACTTTAAAGCAGCTTATCGCTTTAAAGTAACTTTTCTCCTTTCCTGGTCTTCTCCCCAAAGTGTTTGTGGGCAATGCAGAAGGCTGCATTAAGCCATTCTTGAAGGCTTTCTTAGATTAAACTTCTTCACATGGGACAGAACTGCTCTCCACGCATTTCAATGAGCTCTCCCCAGCCTGCCCTTTCCCTGCTAACTCCCAGCACTCACTAACCAAAATGAGCAAACTGGATGTAATCCTACAACACAACACAGCAATTACCCATCCCAAATGAGCTCTGGGGGAGAAGAGGAGAATGCTGAGAGCAGAGCAGTACCCACAGGGAGCACAGAGCAGGACTATAACCCTGGCTGAAGGCCTTCACCATAGCTGAATCTATTCCCCACCACCAACTACTTCAGATTTGGGCACTCAGGTTTCCAAAAGCCTTACAGCAAAACCCTTAATGCAACACCTGCCCCAACCACTCCTGCTCTCTTGAGACTGCCAATTCCTGGTGTGATTAAATATCCAAGAAGTGCAACTATTCAGAAGTGAAGGTTTACTCTCATCTTGGAACTCCTAGCAATGAAGTGCTCTATAAAGCATTTTACTGTCCAAACTCCTCACATAAAACACAGAATTAAGAGTTTTGGTAAATGCTTAATCTGTGACAAGCAACCACAATGCAGCTTTCCCATACAACCCATTGGCCCTCCTCTGTGAGAGGGGCAGCAGATCTGTCTGGGAGTCACCACCCACACCCCCACCAGGCCTGAAGGGACACTCAGCAGGACCCAGCTGCACCTGTGGCAGCCAGAAATCATCATCACCTGTTTCTAACAAGATGCCTTATTTGACACAGGTCACAGCTGTCACCAGCTAGGTGATGGTTGCTGTGCTCAGAGGCAACTCTGTTCTGGTGCCACTGCTGTCCTCATCACTCCATTATCCTCCTCCATCTCTCAAACTGCAATCTTCGTACAGATTCCTACAGTACATAACAAATGAGGCTGCACTTCCTATTCCTAGCATTTAGGCTATGCCATCCCAACAACTGAAGCAATAACAATAACAGGGATTCTTCAGGATTAGAATCATAGAATCACTAAGGTTGGAAAAGACCTAAAAGATCACCCAGTCCAACCGTTCACCTATTCCCAATAGCTCCTACTAAACCATGTCCCTCAACACAACATCCAGTCTTTCCTTGAACACCTCCAGGGTCGGTGATTCCACCACCTCCCTGGGCAGTCCATTCCAGTGCCTGACCACCCTTTCTGAAAAGTAATACTTCCTCATGTCCAGCCTGAATCTCCCCTGCCGTAGCTTGAAGCCATTCCCCCTGGTCCTATCACTAATGACACGAGAGAAGAGGCCGACCCCCAGCTCACTACAACCTCCCTTCAGGAAGTTATAGAGAGCAATGAGGTCTCCCCTGAGCCTCCTCTTCTCCAGGCTGAACATTCCCAGCTCCTTCAGCCTCTCCTCATACGGCCTGTGTTCCAGACCCCTCACCAGCTTTGTTGCCCTCCTTTGAACACGTTCCAGGGCCTCAATATCTTTCTTGCAGTGAGGGGCCCAAAACTGGACACAGTACTCGAGGTGCGGCCTCACAAGTGCTGAATATAGGGGAACAATCACCTCTCTGCTCCTGCTTGCAACACTGTTTCTGATGCAAGCCAGGATGCCATTGGCCTTCTTGGCCACCTGGGCACACTGTCGGCTCATGTTCAGCCGAGCATCAATCAATACCCCCAGGTCCATTTCCTCTACGCAGTCCTCCAGCCACACCGCCCCAAGCCTGTAGCGTCGCCTGGGGTTGTTGTGGCCGAAGTGTAGGACCTGGCATTTGGCCTTGTTGAAACTCATCCCATTGGCTCCAGCCCAGCTCTCCAGCCTGTCCAGATCCCTCTGTAGGGCCTCGCTACCCCCAGGCAGATCCACACTTCCATCCGATTTGGTGTCATCTGCAAATTTATTGAGGGTGCACTCGATGCCCTCATCGAGGTCATCAATAAAGATATTGAAGAGGACAGGCCCCAGCACCGACCCCTGGGGAACACCACTCACGACCGGTCGCCAGCTGGATTTGACTCCATTCACCACCACTCTCTGTGCCTGGCCCTCCAGCCAGCTCCTTACCCAGCCAAGAGTGTACCCATCCAAGCCTCTGGCTGCCAGCTTCTGCAGGAGAATGCTGTGGGAGACAGTGTCAAAGGCTTTGCTGAAGTCCATGTAGACCACATCAACAGCCTTTCCTTCATCCACCAGATGGGTCACTAGATCATAGAAGGAGATCAGGTTGGTCAAACAGGACCTGCCCTTCATGAACCCATGCTGGCTAGGCCTGATCCCCCGGTCACCCTGCACATGCCGCATGATCTCCCTCAAGACAATCTGCTCCATAACCTTCCCTGGCACCGAGGTAAGGCTGACAGGCCTGTAGTTCCCCGGATCCTCCTTACGACCTTTCTTATAAATGGGAGTCACATTGGCAAGCCTCCAGTCTTCTGGGACCTCACCAGTCAACAAGGAGCGCTGACAGATGATGGAAAGTGGCTCGGCTATCACCTCCGCCAGTTCCCTCAGCACTCTCGGATGGATCTCATCTGGCCCCATCGACTTGTGACAGTCCAGCTGGAGCAGTAGGTCTCTGACTGTTTCTTTCAGAATCACAGGGGGGTTAGTGTGCTCCCCAACCGAGATTACCAGGTCAGAGAGAGGGGTATCCTGAGGATAACTGGTCTGACTTTTAAAGACAGACGTAAAGAAGGCATTCAGAACCTCCGCCTTTTCCTTATCCTCAGTGGTCACATTCCCAGCCTCATCCAGCAAAGAGTGGATATTCTCCTTTGTCCTCCTCTTACTGTTAATGTATTTATAAAAGAGTTTCTTATTCCTTTTCACACCAGCGGCTAGGTTAAATTCAAGCTGGGCTTTTGCCTTTCTGATTTCACCTCTACACATCCTAACAACTTCCCTGCATTCATTTTGAGTAGCCTGTCCCTCTTTCCACAGGCGGTAGATTCTCTTTTTCTCCCGGAGCCTCAGGAATAGCTCCCTATTCATCCACGCTGGTCTTCTTCCCCGCCGGCTCATTTTGCAGCTCAGGGGGACTGCCTGCTCCTGCGCCCTTAAGACTTCCTTCTTGAAGAGCAACCAGCTCTCTTGGACCCCTTTGCTCGCTAAGACTGAATGCCAGGGGACTCCCCCTATTAGTCCCTTGAACAATTCAAAGTCCGCCCTCCTGAAGTCCAAGGTAGCAGTATTACTATTCCCCCTCCAGGCTCCACCATGAATCACGAAGTCTATCATTTCATGATCACTCTGTCCAAGATTACCATCATAGAGGTTCTTATTTCAAGGGAGGTATCAGCTACCTGCCTTTGTACATTAAACAAAAAAATTTAAAAGGGCCAGTTATCTACACCCCAGCAAGTCAGGATTTCCCAGGTGTATAATCAATGGATATCAAGATGTTACAACCACGATATAATCAAGAGAGTTAGGCAAAGTAGACAATGATAACAAAAGAGAATAAAATGGAAGGCTTACCCTTTGGCTGGACTCAGCATAAAACACCAATAGAGACAAGCTCCAAAAGAGATCCTTCCCCTCTGGTAGCCAGCTCTTCAATAGGTCTAGGAGGGGTGCAGCCAGGCTCCACCCCTTCCGGCAGCACAGGTGAATTGCCTTCACCTGTGCTCCTCTGGCTGGCTCATGGCTCGCCTCAGGTGATCAATCAGAGGTTCAGGCTGTGACTCAGTAGTTCCCATACACCAGGACACTCCCAAACTTCTCTGCCATCATATCTGAAGAACAAGTAGCTGTTGTCCTTGTTCACTTATTGGAAGATTCTTCACATCTTGCACGCATTCAGTACCATGCTGCATGCTGGGGCATAAGGAATGTGGAGATGTGCCCCCTGTGGCTGTGCCACCTCTGGGGAGAGATGCTGGCACTGCCAGCAGTCCCTCTTTCACTTGGAGCAGCTGAGGAACACAGCAGACAGGTGATTCAAATAGAGATGCACTGTTAAAAGCATAATTATCAAACTTATACATTTCCTTCTGAGTAATAAACACAAGTGTGGTACCCTGTAATAAAAGCTGAATTGGCTTTAAGCTTTCATAATGATGGCTTTTGGATGGCTCAGCTCTTCTGCTGCCATCAGAGTCCCCAGGGAGCCATGGGATGGCACAGCCAGAGCACACATCCCGGTGCAGCCAAACTGGGAGTGAAGTGAGACACTGAGCACAACGTTAGGGTCACTGCCCTGGGTTAACTTAGCAAACAACCCTGCTGTCAGCATTCATCTCCTAAATTCTTTCAGGTCCAGATGGGCTGTGTGCCAGTGGGCTGGAATGCCAAGGCTCAGCTGCTTACAGCCGTGATGGGAATTAGTATCGCTGAATGTAGCGTGAGAGGTTGGTCGAGCTGTAGTGTTTCTTGTTGGAATAAAACCCAGGGAAGTTTGCTTAGTCTAAAGTGTGTGTAGGGTGGCCCTCACGTTATGCATCTTGCAAGTGTTGTAGCAACAGCAGAGATCAGATTTACGCAAGGGAAGGCAACTTTTCTTACTTTCTGGAGGAATTTCTTGGAAATGCTGCTACACATGGATGATTCAAAAGAGGTTGCAGTAACATCATGTCCAAGCTTTTTCTTGGTTGTCCAAGGAAACCAGGTGCCAGGCCTCGTGCTTGCTGTGTTGGATTCAATGCTTATCGTGTACATCCAGGTGGTGGCTTACAGTAGCACCTCAGGCTGTGTTCTGGGAGGAACACAAGCCATGTCAGCACTCTCCTGACTGACACAACTGTCTTGCTTGCAAGGGGCTGCTGTCTGTATGCTGCGGGCACACCTCACCTGCTCTGACTTCAGTGTGGTGCTCCATGGTGCCATTTAAGCCCTCTGCCCCCCTGGTGCGTGCTGCCACGCAGTCACAGAGCTCGGGCTCTCAGGGTTCTGGAAGTCAACGGCTGGTTTCTCCAGCCAACCCCTTCCTCATTCCCCGTCCCTGTTTTGCACTGGGATTCCAGGCTTACGGTTTAGCTTCCCGAAAGAAGTAGACACAACAACTGCTCATTTGAGGGTGTGTGGATGTTTATTGGAATGTTTATGCCCAGATCCCCCCGCGCCCTCTCTGTGGCCTCCAGGAGGGCCATCCCAGCGCTGGGATGATTGCAGACTGCTGGGCTCCATGCAGTGCCTGGGTGGCTGGTAGCAGGATGAGCTACAAGTACGGAAGGATGAGCTGGAGCTGCAGGTGGTCTGCTCCAGTAGGGCAGGGAAGTGATGTCAGAAGTGATGGATGAGCTGGAGCTGCAGGTGGTCTGCTCCAGCATGGCAGGGAAGTGATGTCAGAAGTGATGGTCCGTCCCCGTGCTGTTCCCGGCTGAGGTTGGGTCGCCTGCTCACAAGGGGGGCCCGTCGGGGTGCCGTGCGGGCTCTCCGGCGCCCATCCGCCGCTCCCGTGCCACCCGCCTCAGCCACTCGCGGTCCTCCTCCTGCCGCGGCAGTTCTTCAAAGCGGCTGCGCTGGCGGACATCCCCGTGCCACGAGGAGCTGCGCACCAGCCGGCGGGGGGACCTGGAGCGGCTGCGCGGCAGGCTGCATGGTGGGGCGCTGCGGGAGCGGCGGGCAGATCTTGCCTCCCGCCGCTCCCTGGCGCGCTGCAGCTTCCCCTGGGGCGAGCAGGTCGGGGGCCGAGCCGAGGGGCGCCAGTCCAGCCGCTGCTTGGCGAATATTCTCTGCCGGCACAGGGGGCAGCGAGGGCTGTTGGCCGTCCATTCCTCAATGCACTCCCTGCAGAAGATATGCCGGCAGGGCAGAGCGCGGATGGTGTCGCTGACCCGGTCGAGGCAAATCGGGCACCGGTCCTCGCGGGCCTCCACCGGCCAGGCCCACCCCTTCCGCCTGCGGTTGGCAGCCGCCTCCCGGCTCATGGCTGCGGCTGCCCTGGCGCTGTGGGGCTCCAAGGATGGATTCGGAGCCCCAAGGATGGATTTGCTGGAGGCTGCCTCTTGCGGAGGAGTCGGCAGCCTCCGCGCCTCCACTCACAGTCCACTCGCGAGACTCCTGTCACGCACTGGCCAAGTCTCAGTGTGTCGTGCTCTCTCAGGAAGACACGCACACCTCGAGAGTCGCCAGCAAGACTCAAGGAGTGCTGGGCCCGCTGGCTATTTATAGGCACCCGGCCCATTGTGAGATCATGGGCCGACTGTGACCCTGCGATGCCGTTGCCAAGGACGCGCATAGGAGGAGCTTTGCTGTGCGCTTGTTGTGGCGTTGCTATTGTTGGCATTTGCCTGCCCAAGTCCAGCCAAGGACTTTCTGTGGGACATTTTCACAAGTGGTGACAAATAAACGATTGGTTGAAGCAACCAATGGAATGGATTTGGTGTTGCCATTGATCAGTGCCGCAGCTGTGAGCGTGCTGGTGTTTGATAGCCGTGCTAGCAAAGCAAATGCTATCCTGGGTATTTTTCACCAAGAAGGGAAGGGAAGGGGCAGAGCTTAGCAAGAAGGGCTCCCTGTCTTGGTGGGGAAAGAGCAGCACAGCTTCTCTGTTTCTCTTGTCTCCTTAGAATCATAGAATCCTAGAAATACTCAGGTTGGAAGGGACCTCAAGGATCATCAAGTCCAACCGCAGCCTAACCACAGTACCCTAACTCTAGTAACCCTCTGCTAAATCGTATCTCCGAGCACCACATTGAAACGGCTCCTAAACACATCCAGGGACGGTGACTCAACCACCTCCCTGGGGAGCCCATCCCATTGTTTAGCCACCCTTTCTGTAAAGAAGTGTTTCCTAACGTCCAACCTAAACCTAGCTTGGCGCAACTTGAGGCCATTTCCCCTCGTCTTGTCACCTGTCAGCAGTGAGAAGAGACCTACCCCACTCTCACTGTAAGCACCTTTCAGGTACTTCATCTCTCTTCCTGCTATTCCTCTGCACCCTCCAGGACTTTCCCTCACATCCTAGCCTAATCTGTTCCCTTTTGGGGTGACTTTTAACATGTCTTTGGAGGAGGGTCATGAACATCATCGTTGTATATTCTTCTTGGAGTGTGTAATCCTCCTTAGGGCTATGAATTTTAACATTAACTTCAGCCTCCTCCACGTCAGTTGTTAGTCATTAGCTCTTCCTGTCTTATTTATTGGTTGGTTGGGGCCGTACATTGCCTTTCCCTTTTCTGGCCAATGCACTTGCGGAAGGAAGCCTTTGTTAGTCTTCATGTCCCTTGCCAAAGCCGCCTCCAAGCGTGCTTTGCAGAGCGTTGGTGGCCAAGGGGCTTTTCTGCAGGGCTGCAGGGCAGATAGCAAGGCCCGCTGGAAGGCATCGATTGGAGAAAAATAAATCTACAACCAGCAAACTGTTGGTTCAGAAATTGGTTCAGAACTGTTGGCTCTTGTTAAGGTCTTTTGTATTCAGATTTGCCAACATTAAAATTGCTCAGATTGGAATTTTCCGGGCAGTTGTTGACTTCTAATAGGAATCAAAGACAATTTCAAGAAAAGCAGCCATTTTTAGTGATTATGTCAAGAGAAAAGTATCCAGTATTGAGAGAGATGGAGCTGTTATTTAGGGGGAAAAGAAGAAAAAGGTGTAATCCGACATTTACAGATTGCACGTCTCCACAGACAAACTAGGGAGAGAAATCAGGATTCTATGGGAAAGCCTTACTTTTAGCAATTCAGATCAATAAATTGCTTCGTTTTGCAACCCAAATATCCCTCTAATGCAGTAAGCCAGCAGAACAAAATTACACCAATTTAACGAAGAGAGTGAAAGCAATGCTACCATGAAATCAGGAACCTGGGAGCTTTTCCACTATGTTGCACCAGTAAATCCTGTAGTTTGGGACTCTTCCTAATCTATTTTGTAAAAAAACCCAACCCAGTATTTAATTAAAAAGTTAATTTCTAAAAGAATCTGGATAGGTCACTGAGGAATAAACAAATCTAACAGATGGCTTTGATGTGTAACCACATGCAAATACCAAAGGCATCTCATGAGTTGCATATGCAGTGCTTTATCCAACCTGAGGGATTTCAGTGCTGGAAGGGGGCCCTTTGCCACAGCAATAGAGCAGGAATTAATGTGTTTGCCATCCTTGCTAATGGTTCTTTGTGTCAATCCAACTCATACTTTCAGTGAGCAGCATTTGGAACCCCAATGCTGAAGCTCTGAATGGAGCAGAACCAAACCCATTATTAATGGTTACTGACCTCTCACATTGCACTTGCTGGGAGTTTATGCTGCAGCAAAGCTGGCACCATTCCTGGCCCTTGGGACTCACACATAAAGGGAAGCACACTCCATTTATTACTTTGCTACAGGGGAAAGGATGGAGGGGATACAGGGCACAACTCCATCTATATTTAAAGACTGCGTCCAGTTACTATGGCAACAGAGACTCCAATCCCACAGGACGTTGCCCCTGAGCACCTCTGCCAACTCCTGCACAGAACCCAGCTTTGTGCAAGCTGCCGGCCTTTGGCCTCACACTTGTGCTGAAGAACAGATGAGAAAACATCACTCACCCATTTCACTCATGCGTTCACCTGTGTAC